CCTACTTTTCCTTTTAGCCAAATCATTTTGTTCGAATATTCTAAATGCAGAACATTGATGAATTATGTCATGTTGTTCACAAAACAAGTTAAATTCGCTAGAAAAGTATTCAGCCCCTTATCACTTCTTAAAGTATTTATTTTCTTTCCTAGATAATTTTCAACTTTACTCTTATATACCTTTGTTGACGTCAAAATTTGTATTGACTAATTTCGAGTCAACTTTAAGAAAAAGGGAAATTACGTTTTGTATCAAAAGATCACATAAGGTAAATTGAGAAGATTTGATTGTGTAAAGACTTTGTATATCCATTCACCTGTCCTTAATAAAAACTATCCTTCCACTATTTATACATGGTTTTCAGCCGCAATTACGTCAAATTAGTCAAATCAACTACAGTGCCGAGCTCGGAAGTCGGGTCGTCGAATTCTCCTGTGATTAGTCAATGAGACCGGTGGCCATGAGTCAATGTTTCCTCAGGTAATGATGGCCTGCAAGGGATTGAAGATTCCGAACCTTGGATTGGTGACTTTGGGCGGTGATGACATCACTTTTAACAAGTGTGTGAGATTGACAGGATGATGTGACAAAGGGCAATCATGATGTCTTTTTGGGGTTACGAGGGGCAAATCCGAGCTAAGGTTTATATCCAAACTCATATCTACCTGAGGTGGGGCTTGCGAACAACTTTCATGTGATTGCAGTTCGGTGGTCAACAGTTACCCCACAGGTCAGTTCGGCTGTAAGGGGGACCGACCTCTTAATTTGGCTGTTACATTTCTAAGAAGTGTAATTATTACTGTGCCAAGTGTTATGTTTTGGATGGGGATGAGTTGTACGACACTCGTGGTGACTTCCTTGGGAAGTTTCGTAATAAAACTACGTAGTTTCGAGCTTATCACATCTAGACCGTCAATTTTTCCGTCCACCTTTTGGACGGATGGTTCAAATTAAGCCTTTTGATTTTCCATCTTTTTAAATTCCTTTTGAGCCTTCATTTTATCTTACTTTGTGCGATTTTTTTCTTTCCAAGGTAGCAAGAAATCTTTAGTACGTCCATCTTTATCTTTAAGTGAGGTCGTTTTTTTCTTCGAGTTCCCAGGTATTCTTCTGCATCCTCTCTTTGTCCTTTCAATTCATACTTTATTTTCGATCTGTATAAGAGTTCGGATAAATCCAGGGTTCATTTCTGGGAAAACTAGTAGGAAGAATCAGTCCCTTCCACCTCCAGCTTGTCTTCTAGTTGTAGAGAAATTTTCACCCTTATTCCCATTTCGGTTGTTAACCCAATTACTGTAGCTCATCCTGGGGAGATAGAGCAAATTTGGGAGGATTTGGGCAGTGAGGAGGTAGAATCTCGTGAGGACAGTGAGGAGAATGACCAGGAGGAGTAAGGGGCTAATTCCTATAGGTCAGTCGTGATGGAAGATATGCTTGCAGGCTGGCGAGGCAAGTATGGTATCCACAACTAGGTCATAATGAATTACTGATTGCCTGTGTTTTATTTTGCAGATTACAAGAAATCAACCTCGACTAAAGATACACAGAGGTAAGCTAAGGCTATAAGGGCTCTTTCGAAAAGACAGCGGTCGTGTAAGTATGTGATTTCGGACTCAAAACTTATTCAAGGTTGGTTTGTTTCAGGCAATCACCTCAGGTCAGGTCACACCGCTGCCATCAATATTTGCTCAAGCCAACCCAGTGAAGAATTGAGATACCTTATTTCCTTAGAGAGCATTTATTGAACTCGTATTAGAATAGAGTTTTGTGTCATGCATTTTCAGCCTAACATCAAGAAATGTTGGGATATAAAGTGGCTAAGACAACAGCAGCAGCAAAGGGAAAATGGGCCAAGGTTCTAGTTCGATCTGAAGAGACTAAGGAGGAGGTCCCCCCTTTGAAGAGGCACCGAGCTTCCACACCAGCTACGCCTCAGTCCCCGAACCTATTCCTTTGGACCTGCTCAGCCCAAGTCCAGTACTTCATTCTTTGCCATCATTGACCCCAACAACACCAGTTTCTATCGTATCTTCTGCTGCCACCACTAGCTCCACCCAATCTCAAGAGAAGTGTCCTAATTTACAAAGATCGAGTTTGGACGGCTTAGTGGGTCATCGACTAGAGATATTACTTGATTTTCTACAGGCCACTTTCTCTTCTAGGAAGACAATAGCCACCCTCGTTGCTCCTTTGCGCGACTCTACCATTCTCCTAACTAGGAGTTGGAATGAAAGAGAGCACAATTTCTTTAATGAGATGCCACTTCGGGAGGCAATCGTTACAACTCAACTTCACAGCCACCGATCTATCTTGTATATGATGGCAGCTGATAAGGTACATTATCCAAGCTTGTATACTTGGATTTTACAACGTATTATGTCTAATAGGTCTATTTGACTTTAGATCAGCTGAAGGCCGAACTCGACAAGTTACTAGAGGCCAAGGATTATGCGTTAAGCTTTTACCAAGGCATGGAGAGAGAGAAGGTTCAATTTGCTACGAAGAAAAAGGGATATGAGGAGAGGCTGAACAAGATAGGTGTTGAGCTGAACTCCAGGCTGGATTTTGAGGTGAAGCTATAGGAGGATATCAGAGCTCTGAAGGTCTTGAGGGAGGAGCAGCCATACAGCTGAGATAGAGAAAAAGAAGTTTGAGGAGTAGCGAGACCAGGTTGAGGAGGCAGTGAAGAAGGTGCGAGAGGCAAACGACAGGGCGAGGGGGACGACCAAAAGAGCAGAAGAAGCTGAGGCAAAGGTTGTGAGGACGGTTGAGCTTTGGAGGTCATCTCCTGAATTTGATGCTTTGGCCCAGAATGCCTATGTTGTGGCTCTGGAATAGGTCGTTAAGCACATTCATAGGGATAGACCTGGGTTTGATGTGACGTTCCTCAAGGAAGTAATAGAGGAGCAGAAGAAATAACTCCGGCAATTGACCTAGGAGGTCGGAGTTCGGGTCTCACCTGCTGATGAGGATGTTGCTGATGTTCCTAAAGACGCTCTCCCATCTGGACAGGCCCCCCACCCCCTAGTTCCTCTTAGGATGCCCTTTTTGATTTGATGAACTTTTAAACATATGTTTTTGCTGATGGCGTTTGTAATGACTATTTTGACTCGGTATTCAAATGCATCTCATCTTTTCAACCCGAAGCAATACTTGTTTTACTTTTGACAGTAGACTAAGTGTCTGCATTTTTCCTTAGTTAGGTCTGCACATTGAGCAGAGTTTTTGAGAATTCCTAAGGAGGAATTTTTCAATAAGTGTCATAGCACTTATGATCTCAGCTAGGCCTGCACATGGAGCAGGACTTTTAAGAATTCCTAAGGATAAATTATTCGCTAAGTGTCGTAGACCTCAGCTAGGCCTGCACATGGAGCAGGACTTTTGAGAATTCTTAAGGAGAAATTATTCGCTAAGTGTCGTAACACTTACGATCTCTGCTAGGACTGCACATGGAGCAGGGCTTTTGAGAATTCCTAATGAGGAATTATTCACTAAGTGTCGTAGCACTTACAACCTTAGCTAGGCTTGCACATAGAGCAGGGCTTTTGAGAATTCTAAAGGAGGAATTATTCACTAAGTGTTGTAGCACTTACGACCTCAGCTAGGCCTGCACATAAAGCAGAGCTTTTAAGAATTCCTTAGGAGGAATTATTTGCTAAGTGTTGTAGCACTTACGACCTCAGCTAGGCCCACACATGGAGTAGGGCTTTTGAGAATTCCTAAGGATGAATTATTCACTTAAGGTCGTAGCACTTACGACCTCAACTAGACCCGCACATGGAGCAAGGCTTTTAAGAATTCCTAAGGAGGAATTATTAACTTAGTGTCATAGCACTTACGACCTCAGCTAGGCCCGTACATGGAACAGGGCTTTTAAGAATTCCTAAGGAAGAATTATTTACTAAGTGTCGTAGTACTTACGACCTCAGCTAGGACTGCACATGGAGCAGGGCTTTTGAGAATTCTTAAGGAGAAATTATTCGCTAAGTGTCGTAGCACTTGGAGCAGGGCTTTTGAGAATTCTAAAGGAGGAATTATTCACTAAGTGTCGTAGCACTTACGACCTCAGCTAGGCCTGCACATAAAGCAGAGCTTTTAAGAATTCCTTAGGAGGAATTATTTGCTAAGTGTTGTAGCACTTACGACCTCAGCTAGGCCCACACATGGAGTAGGGCTTTTGAGAATTCCTAAGGATGAATTATTCACTTAGGGTCGTAGCACTTACGACCTCAACTAGACCCGCACATGGAGCAAGGCTTTTAAGAATTCCTAAGGAGGAATTATTAACTTAGTGTCATAGCACTTACGACCTCAGCTAGGCCCGTACATGGAACAGGGCTTTTAAGAATTCCTAAGGAAAAATTATTTACTAAGTGTCGTAGTACTTACGACCTCAGCTAGGACTGCACATGGAGCAGGGCTTTTGAGAATTCATAAGGAGAAATTTTCCACTGAGTTTACTAAGTGTTGAATGATATAAAATAAAGAGTCCCTTTTATTTATGTAATTGACATTACGGACAATGTTAATGTATCATGGACTTTGTTTTACTGATGATACTGCCTAAGATATCCAGCGTTCCATGGTGGGGTAAAGGCTTACCCCCAGGTCTTCCAATTCATATGCTCCTTTCGGCAAGATCTTTGTGACTAGGTAGAGACCTTCTCATTTGGGCCCCAGAGATCCACTGTCAATCTCCCTCGTGGCGAGGAATACTTTTCACAAGACTAGGGATCCACTTCGAATTCTCGTTTTCGTACCTTTTGATTGTAGTATCTAGCATTTCGTTGCTTATAAATTTCTAAGTTCGGCGTCATTTCTCTTCTCTTCAACAAGGTCAAGCTCTCAACGAAGAGCCATTTGATTTTCCTCTTCATTATAGGCAACAGTGCTAAATGATGGGATGTTGAGCTCTACTGAGATCATGGCTTCCATCCCAAAGGCTAGTTAGAATGGTGTCTCGCCCGTGCCGGTCCTCGTGGTAGTGCAAACCAACCACATCACACTTGGGAGTTCTTTGATCCATCCCCTTTGAGCGCATCCAATTTTGCCTTTAGCGTGTGTTTGATGGTCTTGTTAATGGTTTCAAGTTGACCGTTTGCTTGCGGGTTTTTTGGAGTGGAGAAGTGTTTCCTAATGCTGAGCTCTTTACAAAAATCTAAAAGACGAGAGTTGTCAAACTGTTTCTCGTTGTCGGTGACGATTGAGTGAGGTATACAAATATCTGCACATAATATGCTTCCAGAGAAAGTCGATTGTCTTTTGTTCGATGATTTTTGCAAGTGGTTCTGCCTCGGTCCATTTGGTGAAGTAATCCACGGCTACGATGGCAAAATTGAGTCCACCTGTCCCTGTGGGTATAGGTCCAATTAGGTCGATTTCCCACTTAGTAAAGGGCTAAGGGGCAACTACCGGGCTCAACTCGCATGCGATGTTCTGATGAGTGAGGCGAGATGCTGGCATTTATCACATTTCTTCACAAATTTCAAGGCATCTTGCTTCATTATAGGCCAAAAATATCCATGACGTAGGATCATGTGGGCTAGGGATTGTCCACCGGAATTGTTTCCACACATCCCCTCATGTACATCTTGCAAAGCGTACTGTGCTTCTTCTTCATTCAAGCACCTCAGTAGGGGGACAGAATGTCCCCTTTTGTAGAGTACCTCATCTATCAACGTGTACCTGGTCGACCTAGTTCGAAGTCTTCTTGCTTCTGTTGGATCCTCAAGGCACTCTCCCATTTTGAGATGCGAGATGATTTCATCCATCCAAGTCGACTTGTGTTCTATCATCATCAGAGTCACTTTGGCTAGTTCTATGGCGATCGTGCTATCCTCCCCATGGGAATGCTATCGAACCCCTCAATCTCTTCACTGGTAGCCAAGCGAGCTAAAGCATCGGTGTGGTTATTCTAGGATCGAGGAATCTGTTTAATTTGAATAGCTTTGAAATTTTTGAGTTCTTTTCTGACAACTTGGAGATAACCATCCATCTTTTCTTCTTTGGCTTGATACGTTCCATTGATCTGGTTGACCACCAGCTGGGAATCGCTGTGCAAGATGGGAATTCCCAACGCAACTGCCATTCTTATTTCGACAATGAAAGCTTTGTACTCGGCTTCATTATTTGAAGCCTTAAAGTCAAAAGGTAGGGCTTCGCAAAATAGTCATCGGTCTGGGCTAATTAAGAAACAACTCCTACCTCCGACTTGTCTCCGATTGATGAACTATCAACAAAAAGTTCCCAAGGGCCTTCTGGTGTTGGTTCCTTTTTGGGTTCATTGCTGAATTCTACAACGAAGTCTGCGAGGGCCTGACCTTTAATAGAGGTGTAGGGCCTATACCTTATGTCAAATTGTCCAAGCTCTACTGCCCATTTGACTAATCTTTAGGATGTATCTGATTTCTGCAAGGTTGCCTTAATGGCGAATTGGTAAGGACCTCTATGGAGTGCTCCAAGAAGTAGGGCCTTAGTTTCCAAGCTGCCACAACTAACACGTACGATAGCTTTTCCAACGGGGAGTAACGGAGCTCGAAATCGTGGAGTGCCTTGCTTGTGTAGTAGACAGGGTACTATGTTCCGTCCTTCTCCCGAATTAGGACGACACTGATAGCATGTTTTCTAACGACTAGGTATAATTTCAAGACGTCACCTCCCTTTGGTTTTGAGAGCACGGGAGGTTGAGTTAACTATTTCTTTAATTCGTCAAAAGCATCTTGGCATTCTGAGGTCCACTCAAACTTTTTTCCTTCCCATAAGGTGTCGAAGAAAGGTTTACACCGGTCTGTGGACTTCGATACGAATCGACTGAGGGTGGTGATTCTCCCTGTTAAGCTCTGCACCTCTTTTGGTTGAGCTGGGGCTTTTATGCTGATGATAGCTTGTCCAGGTTTGCCTCAATTCCTTGGCTGTTCCCATCGAATTGAGGGATTTTCCCGAGCTGACTTCGAAGGCACATTTCCTTGGGTTCAATTTCATCCCGTATTTTTTTAGGATATCAAACATTTCTACTGGCGTAGGTGCTTTTGACCAATATGTCATCAACATAGACTTTCAAAGTTTTTCCGATCTATTGAGAAAACATCAAGTTCACAAGCCGCTGATAGGTGGCTCCTACATTTTTGAGACCAAACGACATTACCCTATTGCAGTAAAGACCTCGATTGGTGACAAACGAGGTATGTTCCTGATCTTGGCCGTGCATTAGTATTTGGTTGTATCCGGAGTATGCATCCATAAAGCTGAGAAGTCCATATCTAGCAATGGCATCTACCATTTGATCTATTCCTGGTACAGGGAAGTTATCTTTAGGACATACTTTGTTGAGGTCGGTAAAATCTATGCACACCCTCCAGTCTCCATTGTGCTTCTTTATGAGAACTGGGTTTGCAATCCACTTGGGATATTTTGCAATCTAGTAATTTCTACACTTTTTTGTTAAGTACTTGGTACCTGTCCGGGTTTAAAGGATGACGTTTTTGCTGTCTTGGTCAGACTCCGGGGTCAACATGCAGCTTGTGACAAGTGATTGTGGGGCTAATTTCTTTCATGTCTTCGTGATCCTAGGCAAAAACTTCAAGGCTCTGTCTGAGAAAATTCAAAATTTCACTTCGGATCAAATTTCGCAGCTCGTTCCCAATCTTGAATACATTTGATGGGTTGTCATCACATACTGGTATTTCCTCCAGTCTTTCCACGGGTTCTCCTTCTTCGATTTTAATGCGCGGGTCTAGTAAACCAAGTTCAATTTCCCATGTGCGGGCCATATACACTTCTGGTAGAGTGTGTTGATGGCTAGTATGGGTTTTCAATTGGCATCTTTCGATAAGTTCCCTGCTTCGTTTGACTTCGCCTACGCCATGAGACATGGAGAATTTGATCGAATAATGGTAGAGGAATACCGTCGCTTTCAAACCAAATATTAAGAGCTGTCCCATGACAACGTCATATGTTGATGGAGTATCAAACACCACAAACTCATAATTCATT